TGCAAGAGCAAGAGCTTTCGTTCCACGCGAAAATTTAGGAATAACAACTAAATCCTAGAAACCAAATTTTTATCGTATGAAAGGTTCAGATATGGTGAAAAATACGCTCCCTACTTTTTTTAAATAATAATAAACAAATAATTTCGTTGCAGTGGAGGAGGCTGCAAGTAAATGTAAAATGTATGTATTTCGATAAATTCATTTAAGATATAGCAGAGAATACGCGTCAAGGAAGTTAAATTTATGTGCAATTAATATAGCTGTTACTGGACGTCGCACTTAAACATATCACATAGAATATTGACATCCATGAATTTGTTAAGTCTAGTCTGTGAACACTTCAATTGCAAAGTTGTAGTAGAATCCACAATTAACGAAGTAACAACAGTCGTCAAACGCGATCGTCTCTCGCCGTTCAAATAATCTCCGTTTAATAATAGAAGTCATATGAATTTTGTAAATAATAACGCCATAAATTACCATATTGAAAAACATCAAACAGATAAGATAAGACGTAATGATAATACTCATTTAATGGATATTGATGATGAATATATTAAATTTGATGAACTCTTGTGGACACCGCATAAACGGTCGTCGTCATTACCAAAGAACCTAAGTGAAATTTTTAATTTTGAATGGGATCAGGAATAAAGCTTAAAGTATAAATAAGCGTAAAATAAATGTTTTCGAAATTTGAAAATACCATTTCATATTTTCTTTAAAGCAAATGAATAGAATATCTGCGTTCATTGTTCTGTAAATATTCCATTATTCCACACAACCGTGTTCAATTATTGCAATAATTTAATAATTATCACGAAAGACTTTTGGTAATGATGACGACAATATATACTATCAAATCATTTACTTACAGATAAATAACGCCAGCAATTACAACGACACCGATACAGCGCAATGGAGATGAATTAAAGTATAGAATTGTCAGAAAGATCGCAAGACGTGTTATCGAAAAGAAATTATCCAGCCAATCACGATTCTCCTGTTCATCCTGCACAATGTTAGGGAAGCCTGGTGCTGCCGCATGTTGCTGCTCCGGCTGCGCCTGTGCTTGCTCACCGCCGGCGGCTTGCATTGCAGCAGCATTACCATCCGTGGCGTGTACGGGCTGCGCGCCAATTAAATTAGCTGGGCGAGCCTGTTGCGACAACAGTGTAGCTGCTGGTATCACAGGATGAGTTGCGCCGACTGTGGCCACACCCGCCGCCGCTGTTGCTGGTGCTAGAAAAGGCATCTGCTGTAGAAATGGATTAAATCCGAATGGGTTAGCAGCCCCAGCTATTGGCATATTTGGTGCAGCACTGGCTGCTGCATTTGTTGCAAATAAATTGGGGATACCAGTGACAGTAGCCGTTGTATTAGACCTAAAATAAAATGTATGATATAAAACTGGCGTAGCGAACCTTATAACATTACAAACTTAAACTCAAAAAACTTACATTCGCATACACTGTTCCATGTATTGTGAGTACACCTGCTGCATCCAGTTGTAGATGGCAGCCTGTTGAGTAGCCATGGCCTGCATATTTAATAGTCCAGGAAAACCAAATGGCAGCGCATATTGTGGGTTATTAGGATCGTAAACAGGACACAGTGGATTAAGCATCTGTTGATTGTGTTGTGGGTATACAAAATTTGGATGTTGCGCTTGATATTGTTGATAATATTGCTGCTGAATATTTTGTTGGGCGGTTGCGTTGGACGACATACCACCACCAGCAATATGTCGTTGTCGCAAGCCATCAGCGTTTGTGTTATTAGTATTGGGACTCATATTGGAGGTGCTGCCTTTGGTTTTTTGCGCGAAATTCGTATTAAAGGAATTCTTCGGTGTATACACTAAATGTATTATATGATTATGAGTGTAAACGTCTTTGTAACTGCGTATGACATCCTTCAACAATAAGTTATCGTTCAAAAGTTGGCCTGAGTAAATTAATTTTTGCTCGTCGACTGGCTGCAATAGAAAAGTAATCAGCAGTTCGTTAACGCTAAATAAAGTTTGTTTCCTTCAAAATAATGTTCTTTATGAATACATAATTAACTATACAACTCTTAATTAAAAAAAAAAGATTACACGTCTACCAGAAAAAAAGCAATTTACACAGCTGTTATTGTTAATGATAATAATAGTTTCATATATAAGTAAACGCAAAAAACATAGGTGTAGATGTACTTTCAACGCCAGCACAATCCCGTGTGGAAATTCGCAATGAAAGATGACGTGTCGCTTGCACTTTCCGCAATCGAAGGCACTACCAGACATGCACTTAAATCGGAACCTGTACACATGAACTTGAAATTTCAGATATGTACAGTATCGGTCATATTTATAGCACGCCATTTCAAAGTGATATTGTGTGCCACTTATGTTTATCTATTTATTTTTATGAATTTTCAATTAAAATACAGTTCATTCTCAGACAAACCCCATATAAACCCAAGTGTAACAATTTGTAGAAAACAACAAAAAAGTGCAACAAATTTTCACCTAAATTTCAAACTTTTTTCTCGGAAGTGTAAGAATTTTTTTGAGTACACAGTTTTTTAGCCCCTTCAATTTTAGTCTGATAATGTTCAAGTTTCAAGTGGCTAAAAGTTACCGTTGATTTTTTAGAATTTTTTTCGCCAAAGGTGTTGCGGATTTCTTCCATATACAAATAAATTGAGTTTATCGATTATATGGAAGCCAAAAAAAATTCTAAAAAATAAACGGTAATTCGTAGCCACTTCAAATTTGCACATTATTAGACTAAAATTGAAGGGGCTAAAAAACTGTGTACTCAAAAAAATTCTAACACTTCCGAGAAAAAAGTTTGAAATTTATGTGAAAATTTGTTGCACTGTTTTGTAGCTTTCTACAAACTATTAAGCTTGGGTTTGTATCGGGTTTGTCTGAGAATGAACTATATTTTAATTGAAAATTCTTAAAAAGTAATAAATAAACATAAGTGGCACACAATATCACTTTGAAATGGCGTGCTATAGATATGACCGATACTGTACGTATGTACACATATGCAGGTATATTTGCCGATGTGCATAACTATAATTATGCCAATATGTTTTCTTTAGTTTAACTTGCCTATATTTTGATGAGTTGAACGATAGTATCATCGAGCTTGAATGTATGTATTTCTTGCAATGACGGAAAAGCTTTAATCGATCTGCGAAAATTTATAAGGTGTAGGTACTACAAATATCGGAAACAATTTATTTGTAACGAGTATTTAGACGAGTCGCCCTCACCAATACAAAGGCTCTTAATGAAATTAGAAATTCCACAGGAGAAGCGAAAAACTATTAAATTTTATTTAGAAAATGTTTTCAGAGATGTTCTAAAGACGCTTATAGGTATATCTCGTATTTTGAAAGAAATGCCTTAGAATTTTGTCATGTGCTGCTAACTGAGAGCAAACAAACGCGAAATGTACGAATTTAATCCGAAAAGTGAACATCAGAGCCCTTTTACAACGCTTTTATCAACTTGCAATGTTGTGTGTCCAGAAACTT